TGCTGAGCCCTCACTGGGCTCTGAGATTGCTTAGAGAGCAGGTTTGGAAGCATCTGTGTCTGGGGCATGGATTCCTGAGAAGGGCTGGGCCCCTGCCGAGAAGAGCCCCACGTGTACATCCATCTTTCCAGGGAGAAGTCAACACAGGTGTTTGATGATTTCCTGACTCCTTATAAAACAGATGAATTAATTTTAACAACTGCAGGCATTCTTGACTAGATGATTATAGAATGCTGTTGTTTTTTAAACAACTCTTCCTTCCTTCCTTCCTTCCTTCCTTCCTTCCTTCCTTCCTTCCTTCCTCTTTTTCTCTCTTTTTTTTCTCCTTTCTCTTTCTTCCCTTTCTCCCTCCCTTTTTCCCTTCCTCCCTCCCCTCCTTCCTTCCTTCCTTCTCTGTAGCATCAAACCTACTTTAGTTTTAGTTGGTTTGATAAGAGGGGAGAAAGTGTGCATGGTGGGTGAATCATAGCAGATTTCCCCAGGTTCCTGGGCTGCCCCAGTTCCATGAACTCAGCTTTGGGGCCCTCCCAAGGCCTTCCCTCTGCTTCCCCCTGCTGAGGAGTCTTGAAGCCCTGTGTGTTCTTTGGGATTCCTTGTCTTTCTGAAAGAGTCTACAGCCCTGCTTCTTCCACAGCCTTGGAATTCTGGAGCAAGTGGGATGGATGATTTGATTTGGCAGAGCATCCTTTAGGGTTTTTTTTTTTTTTTAATAAATGGCTGGAATTAAACCTCGGGACGCTTGGCTTTCCAGTCATTTAGTTCAGGAGCCTCTGGGTGGCAGAGCCTGCCTGTTCATTGGACACCACACTGATGGTGGTTTTACATTTGTGGTAGGTCAGGAAGGATACAGGAGGATTAGGGGTGAGTGCCATTTGTAATGTTAGCCTCAGGTTAGGGATGATTGTTAATGCCCCCTGTTATACTCCAGGACAGTCCAGCCATTTTCCTTTTATCTTTCTCCTCTCTCTTCCTCCTGCCTTGAGGACAGAAAGCCAATCTGATTCACATTCTGTAGCTTCCTAACCCTGGTCACTAGCCCCCTGGCACCTCGGGCGGGGGTGGGGGGGGGTCCAGCATAGTTTTCTTCACATATTATGCATATGAATATTTGTTGCTGTTTGGTGGTTATGCTCTTGTCACATGTTAAATACCTACCATGTGCTCACCATTGTGTTGTGAGGGAAGTCTAAGACAAGGGCCCTGCACTCAAGGAACTTAGGATCCTTTTGGGGAAACAAGACTAGTCCACATGAAAAAGGTGGAAAGCAGTTATTGACAGGGTATATAATAAAGTGCTTTCAGTGAAGTGGGAATTCAGTGGGATTGTGGGTAGGGCTCAGAGTAGTTATGGCAGACTCAATGAGCAGGTGGGCCTGGAATTGGGCCTTGAAAGATGGCTAGTATTTAATTAGTTAGGCACAGACAGGCAACTAGGTGGCACAGTGGATAAGTGCTGGGTCTGGAGTCAGTAAGACTTGAGTTCAAATTTGGCCTCAGACACTTACTAGCTATGTGACCTTGGGCAAGTCACTTAACTTGTTTGCCTCAGTTGCCTCCTTTGTAAAATGGGGATAATAATAGCACCTACCACCCAGGGTTATTGTGGGGATCAAATGAGATAATGCACAATGCCTGGCACATAGTAGGTGCTATATAAATGCTATCATCATCATCATTGTAATTATTGTGAAGGAAGTGGCAAACGTTCTAAATTGGGATAGGGAACAGACAGTAGGAGCAAACATCTAGTAGGAAATATTTCAGTCATCAGAGGATTTCTCTTTTTTTCGGGGTTTGTATCCTCAGAATGTAATGGTAAACGTGTTTCCATTATAGACTTTGCTTCTGGTCTGCCCAGAGGGCTCAGAAATGTCCCAACAAGGAGCATTGGACTTAGCTTTTGGATCATCGTGGAGGCCGTTCTTAGCACCTGGTTCAAAGGAGACAAAAATCAATCTGTTTACCAACAGGTGTTCGTTACGTGCCTGCTGAGTCCTCGGCTCTGTGCTGGACACTGTCGTTGTTGTTCAGCAAAGTCCGACTCTTGGTGACCCCATGGACCCCAGCACGCCAGGCCCTTCTGTCCCCCACTCTCTCTCAAAGTCTGTCCAAGCTCACGTTTGTTGCTTCGTGACACTATCTGTCCATCTCATCGTCTGCCATCCCCTTTTTCTTTTGCCTTCGATCTTTCCCAACATCAGGGTCTTCTCCAGTAAGTCTCATTGTGGTCTCATGTGGCCATTGTATTTGATCTTTCAACGAACAGCCTGCATTTCTGAAGTATATGTGCTAGACACTAGGGATAGAGATTAGAAATGAGTCAGAGATTTCCTTGGTGTAAGGGCCTCCCAGGCAGATCAGCATCTCCTCTGCCATTTGTAGTTTCCAAACTTGCCTTGTCCAGAGCACTGAGAGGTCAAGTCACTTGCCCAAGCCCTGCAGCCAGTTCTCCTCAGTCTAGTAGGCAAAGGTGAAGACAAAACAAGCAAACAAACGAAAGTGATTCCTGCCCTCTAGGAGAGTACGTTCTAATGGGGGAGGTAGCACATCCATTACTAGGCTTGTATTAAATATGTGTAGAGTAGTGGAGAAGAGCAGGCCTGGGAAAGGCCTCCTCCAGAAGGGAGCATTTCAGAAGCCAGGGAAGCAAGGAGGCAAAGGGGAGAGGGCAGAGCATTCGGGCACAGTGGACAGCAGGTGTCTAGGCACCGAGCTGCAAAACGGAGCGTTGGATTCGCAGAACTGCAGCGATCTCAGAGTGTGTTTGGAGGAGGAAGGTGTGAGAAGGATGGAAAGGTAGGAAGGAGCCCCATGTTATGAAGAGCTCTAAATGCCAAGCAAAGAACTGGATATTTGGTTTGGGAGGCGGTAGAGAGTCACGAGAGCTCATTGTGCGGGGCAGGGCCTGGTCAGATTTGGGCAGGAAAATGGCCTGAGCAGCTGAGTGCAAGATGGATTGGAACGGGGATTGACCAAGGCAGGGGAACTAGTCACTGCAGCAGTCCAGCCAAGAGGCTCAGAGGACCCGAACTAGACTTTTGTCTGTGTGAAGAGAGAGAAGGGGACGTATACAAGGGGCGTTCTAAAGGGAGAATCTACCAGATGGGCAACAGATTGGATAGGTGAGGTGACCGTGAGTGAGGAGTTGAGAGGAGCACTGGGGTTGCAGATGTGGATGACAGGAAAGCTAGCAGGGCCCTTGATAGGAAAGGGGAAGGGCTTTAGGGGAAATATAATGAGATCTGTTTTGGACGTGTTGAAATTTTTTTTTTTTGGAGGGGCAATCAGGGTTAAGTGACTTGGCCAGGGTCACACAGCTAGTAAGTATCTAAGACTGGATTAGAACTCAGATCCTCCTGACTCCAGGCCTGGTGCTGTATCCACTGTGCTACCTAACTGCCCTGACATGTTGAATTTGAGATGACAATGGGATATCTGCTTTGAGATGTCTAAGAGGCAGTTGGAGACAAGTAACTGTAACTTAGCAGAGAGGTCAGCGCTGAATAGATAAGCCTTGGAATCACAGCGATCAAAACTGTACCCATGGGAGCTGAGAAGATCACCAAGTGAGATCGTGTAGAGTGAAATGAGAAGGGGGCTGAGGACAGAGCCTTGAGAGGTAGGACGTAGATTAAAAACCAACAAAGGAGACTGAGCGGGAGCCGTCAGAGTGATAGGAGGAGATCCGGGAAAGAGCAGTGTCACCAGGAGGTGGTCCAAGGTGTCACATGCTTCAGAGAGGTCGAGAAGGATGACAGTGGATAAAGGCCATTAGATTTGGCCTGCTCCTTGGGAGGGGGTAGTTTTGTTTGAATGATGAGGTTGGAATCTAGATTACAAAGGCTTTACAAGAGGCTGAGAAGAGAGGAAGTAGATGCCCCAACTGTAAATAACTTTCTCTTAGCCGTGGAGGAGAGAAGAGATAGAGGACGATTATTTAAAGCCAGGTCTTCCTGGCTTGGAAGTCAGCTCTCTGTGTTCTCAGGATTACAGAGACAGAGGTGGCAGCAGTTCTTGCCCTCGAGAAGCTTATATTCAATCAGGGGAGGCAGCTTATGTGCATATAAAGGTATATATGAATTAGATACAAGGGGGTTGGTGGGGGAGGGCACTAGCAGCTGGAGGATTCTGGGATGTGGGGGTGAAGAGGGAAGGGTGCATTCCAGACAAAATGACCTCTATTCCTGTGGAGAAGTCCATAGTTTTCCTATTTGCAATGGGGACCTTTTGAATTGGAGGAAAATGGTCACACTTAGAGAGCAATTGAGAAATCAGGACCTTGGCAGAACTATGTGAAATGGAGATCTCCAAATGAAGTCTGAGCCGGCCTAGAAACATCTGCTGAGGGTTTCTCTTCAACAGGGGTTTCCTGCTTAACAGAGCAGCAAGTTTGCCTGGGCCCGGGAATTGCTAGACCGGCTGAAAAAACAAACCCGGGCAGTTTGAGGGCATGAGTGTGTGAAGAGACGAAAATAATGAAAAGCAACGATATAAGCACATTAGAAAACCTTAAGTGTCCTAAAAATTTTGTATCTCATTAAACAGTGCACTTAACAAGACCACACAGATTAAAGGGACAAGGAGGGAATGAATAGGGAGAGAGAAGCCACGCTTCATGATGAAGATGTCTTAAATGGCAGATTTGGTTTAATTTCCTTTCCCCAAAAGCAGTGATTCAAAAAGACTGCTGCCATTTGTCTATTTTCTTTAATGCTGGCCAAGATCCTTCTGAAGGGCAATTAAACATTTTGACCCAATGGCCCTTCCTCTCCCAGCTCAGGCATCCATAAGAAAAGTTGAAATCCCAGACATCAGCAGCAAATGAGATTGGAAAAGATCTATTGATGAGATAATGTACAGTGAAACATTTTGCAAACTTTAAGGTACTCAATAAATATGAGCTATTGTCCTCATCATCTTGGAGCAAAATGCATTGCTCCGCATTCCCTTTGGGAGCCAAGTTAATGACTGAAATGTCTCTTCCCGGTCTTTCCTTCCAGCTCCCCTTCGGCCTCGGATGCAGTCTTCTGCCCAGCTGTCTCCGATGGGACCTGGAGTAAGTACCTGCGGGTGATTGTAAGGGCGTGCTCATTGGATTTGGGGATGGCTACCATCAGCAGAGAGGAAGATCACCTTCTTCTGAGTGAGGATATTTTTCCTTTTGGCAGAGAGAGATTTTTATTTGCATGAATAAACACAGCTTTTTTTTCCTGAGAAGCTGACTGACTTCTAGCCAGTGGTGATGGGGGCCAGTGGCATCAGCAGGGGCAGAGAGAACATGCTGCCTGCAGCTCTGATGCTCAGTACCCAGTTTCCCGTTGTATCTGGTCGCTTGCTGTTATTCTGGGGCACTCACTTGCATTGTCAGATGATCAAGGTGACATTTTCCTGCTGATCATTAAGGAACCCCTTGCATCCTGCTTAAGACAAGTTTCAACACCTACAAAATGATCTGTTCCTCCTGGTCATTCGGTATAAGGGTTTAGGAGAATGCTTTCTTTTTTAGGAGACATAGGAGCACTCTTCCTTTATTCTTCTCCCTTATTCCTTCTCTTTGTTCTTAGGCTGAGTCTTAGCTAGCAAGCCCTGGTATTGGGAGGAGAAGTTTTGTCCCCATACAAACTTTAAAGAAGCTGGCAATGTCGGCAGGCCACCCAAGCTTGAGGGAATAGAGTCACGTATTTGTATTTCCAGCACTGAACAGAGTGCCTGGTGATTTCATGAGTATAGGGAACTCCCAAATGAGGAAGATCCCCCTGCTAGTGCAGGTCAGCACCTTTTCTGCAATTATGTAGTCTCAGAGAGAAGTGACTTGCCCAGGGTCACACATGCAGCATGTATCCAAAATGGGACTTACACCTGGATCTTCTAGACTATGAGAATGTCCATTAAACCATTCTTCCTGCCCATAATAGGTGCTTAATAAATGCTTATTGATTGATTAAAATGGTTCTGCACTCCTTTCGATTGAATATCTATTTGAAAATGTCTTGGGGTCCTAGAAGGAAAGAGAAACTCTTGGGCAGTGGTGAAGGATAGCGGTGTCCCTGGCAGCTCCCCTAAGGACATAAGCCTGACTTCAGCCCTTACACCCACCTCCATCTTGGCTTGTGCTAAGTGTTGGGCCTGATTGGTTCCACTCACCATCCTGGAGAGTGGCTTACTAGGAAAGGTGAGTAATTTAGTATCAGAGACTGCCCCAGGATGCTGTTTTCCTCTGTCACGTTAGTTGGATAACTATAGCATGAATGAATAGTGCATTCACATGTAAACAGGGGCTTGGGGATCACTTTCTGGGCCTCCGTGCTGGGATAATCCAGCCCTTCTCCCTGTAGCAGTTTCTATGGCAGTACTAAGAATGTGCTCTGTGATCATAGAGCCAGTGCTTTAAGCTTCTCAAGCCAAAGAGTGGTAGATACCACCTTGTTAACAATCTGAAAATGGCAGCAGAGTCTCCAAAGATGCTCGTCAGAACACTGATCGCCAGCAGCACTGATGAGCCTTTTGTTTTGGAAGGTCCTGGCAGCACAGGCATTTGTGATGTGCATGTACATTTGGATTAGTGTCCAGGATCTGAGATCATGTGGCACATAGAGTTAGAACCAGGAGGGACCTCAGAGGTCATCAATTTCATTTCTCTTGTTTTGCAGATGAGGGAATTGAATCCCCACCCCTCCCATCTCTCTCTCTCTCTCTCTCTCTCTCTCTCTCTCTCTCTCTCTCACACACACACACACATACACACCTCCTCAAGAGATTAAGGAATTTGCCCAAGATCATAACTCAGGGTCTCCCAATGCCAAATCCAATGATCTTTCCACTGTACTATGAAAATGTTTCCCAGTGACAATATGTGCTAATTAATATGTTGTCTCCTTTACCATGAGGCATTTTGGGGAGTCAGCATGGTAGATAGAATGCTGGACTTAGAGTCAGAAAGACAAGGGTGCCTATCCCTCTTTTGACACTTGGTAGGTGATTGACCATGAATAAGTCACTTAATCGGTCTAAAGATTTTAAGACCCTGAGTTCTGCCTGGGCGGTGAACTACATTGATGAGGACGCTTCCCACATTTGAAAAATCCCAGACCCTTGTTGTGGTGAGGTTTTTTGGCTTTATGTAGCAGTCTAAGAAAAATCAAAGAATTTTCTTCCCACAGGAGAAAATAGTTACCCTTTTTTTTTTCTGTTGAGTTATACTGTGGTGGCAAAGTTCTGAGGGCCTTATGGTGACATTGGCAGGGGCCAGACCTCTCATGTGGGCTGCCTTCATCTTCAGGCTTTTCACAGTTTTACTTGGCCTCCTCAGATGCTCTCGTGCACCTTGAAATTTCTCAACGATGCCTAATTATTGGAGTTGATGTCATCATCTTTTGCCTTGCAGTTATCTATATCCCAGCTGTCAGCCTCTCCCCCCTCGACCATTCGAAGCCTCTCTGCCAGACCTCCCTTACCCACCCAGCTTGGCTCACAGCTTTCCACGTCCCTCAAGACCTCCCAGGGAGCCCAGGAAGTAAGTGGGCTTACTTTTCCCTCACATGCAAGCTTCTCCTGCAAAGATGGGGATATACATGCTCTTAAAAATTGAATGGAGTTTTCCTCTAGGCTCTTTCCCCATTTATGAAGCACATAATGATTCTGAGGTGCTGAGCCATGGGAGCGGGGGGCAGCATGATCTTTTCCATTAGTTGGGCTTGAAGCCATCATCATTACGTCCCCCTTGGGGAAAGAACCAAAAGGAAGCTTCGGCTTTAGGAAGTAGTCATATCAAAATGCCAGATTTTCTGTTCTTGCGTTTGATGCTAAGTCAAATTTAAATGGTTCTTAGGGGCTCTGGTCTCTAAAAGGAAAGGGAAATATCTATTCAATGGCCCATATATCCTCTTTAGGAAGGACAGTTTGGCATCGTGGACGAGGACACTGAATCTGGTGTCCGAAGGCAGTGTTCTAGTACCAACACGAACTAGCTGTGTGATCACAGGCGTAACCTTTCTGAGCTTGTTTCTTCATCTGTAAAATGGAGATGATGTACCAGCTATCTCACAGGGGATTGTAAGGATCACATATGATTATACAGAAAGTGCTTTTGTATAGAATGTCTATAAAGCACTAGAGAAACGTCAGCTCTTACCTGAAAAATGATCAAATTAGGTTTCAGTGATCCTCTTCATTTTTCTTTCAATGGCATTTTCATATGAAGAAGCACTAGAGAGACATAGCACGTTTGGATCCGAAAGACTCTTGGCTTACAGGTTTCAGGACTACGTCTCAGAGGGGTCTGGCTCAGAAACTTCTGGTTAACTTTCAGCAATATGATGGAGAAAGCTTATTTGATATGTCCATTTGGAAAATGAATAGAAATGTGAACCTAAGTTTTCTAAAAGATAAATTTTTAAATGGATTTTATTTATTAGTTATACATTTGCTGGCCATTTTTTAAAATGTTACTTCAGAGATAATGGTATGGTCTTATACATCTAGTCATTATGTATTCCTTTTTCTTCAAGCAGAAGGCCCCGTTAATCCTTCAAAAAGAGCATTTCAGACAAGGCATCTAGCTCCCAAGCAACCCAGTCCTTTAGATGTTCATTTGCTGGTCTTTCCTATTGTTCTGAATTCCTTTGAGGGGAATTATTAGACTGTGAGCTCCATGAGGGCAGGCAGGGACCTCATCTTAACAGAACTCTGGATTTCCCCCATCACCTAGCATACTTTTGGTGCTTAATAAGTACCTGCCGAATGCATGAGTGAACAAGTGAGTGCATGGAGTGGGAGGGCAGAGCATGTGGCTGATTTGAAGGGTTCAGCCATGGAAAGGGATCTCCTACCCGTACACTCTGTCCATTGGCACACAGATGCGATGTCTCCTTGCCTTTCTGATGACAGTTTAAGTCTTTAGTGAAAAAAATCCCTCATTGGTTAATAACATTGGTAGAATTTTTTTTCAATTCTTAAATCAGTGAAAGCACATCATCAAGAAATTTACTTAGATGGGAACAGAGTCTTTATGCCTCAGTTATGAAACTACACTGGTGGGTACCCTCAGTTTTGTCTGAGTGCTTTCTTCTTACCCACTAGGATCTCTCCTCCAGCAGCAGCAGCAGCAGGATAGCTCATCTGGAGGTTGACCTGAGCCAGAGATCCCTCGTTTCAGAATCCCCCAGTGCTGAGCAGCTGCAGGAGTTGCCTTTCACGCCCTTACATGCTCCGATTATCATGGGCACTGAGACCCGAAGGTGGGTCCTAAATCTCTTGATGTGGTATGGGTCATGCTGGGTGCTTGTATGTTTGGATAGCGTCCCTTAAGTGATGACTAGCTTAGCAGATCTCTAGATTCATAGTATGTCGGATGAAAGAAGTGAAATTGTTTTGACTTTGGCCATCTTGGTTAGATGAATACCTTTGCATAGGGGTTCTGTTGTATTTCAGTTCTGGATCTAAGCTCTCCCGCGCCTCGTTAGTTCGCCTGCGCACATTAGGCTTTCCAGAAATTCTGGACCACAGCAAGCAACCAGCTGAAGTTGTGGATCCTGCCGTCCCCATGAACTTTAACCCTCAAAAGGAAGAAGCAGATGTGCTACAGAGCAATGAAATAATCTTGCAATTTCTTGCCTTCAGCAGGTAAAACAAGAATGATTTTACCCCCTTGTTTCATTCTACCCTTCTTTTTGACAGCCCTCTTGTTAAGTGGAATTCTTAAGATGGTTCTCTCACCCTCCATAGCTTCTCCTTTCTTTGTTAAGTCACATTATTCTTACTATCATTAAAAGAGACCTTTTCAAAACAGGACATCTGGGAGTTCAGTAAGCCATTCAAAAGTAATTCTCTATTTGTTATTATCATCACAGTTGGAAAATTTGTTGGATTTTTTATTAGCACTTTTTCTCTAACTATAGTTCTTCTCTTCCACAAAGTTTATGTAAAGCATTGCCAATAGCTGGAGCCTCATTAATTGTCTAACCAACTCGTCCAGAGCCAGCCCAAACTATTCACTTCAGCTCCTGAGGCAGCCTCTTAGAACAGATAGGAAAGATTTCTCAATAGGCCAAGCGTTCTGTGAAGAGCTATTGGTGATGGATTAATTCAAAGGTACAATTTTATTTAGAGCATCAGAGGACCCCAGGGGAATGCCATGGCCAAAAACAGTGTACTTCACCTTCCAATTCTATCGTTTCCCACCGGTCACGACACCACGGTTACAACTGGTGAAGCTGGAACAACCTGGGATGACTAACTGTAGTTCTCCATCCCACATCCTGGTTTCAATAAACAAGGATGGCTCATTTAACAAGGGTAAGCATGTGTTTGAAATGTCCATATATGTGAGTTTTGTTAGAAAGGTCAAGTTGGGAATTTAAGAATGCAACCTTTCGGGTTGTTGAACAGTGAGAAAAGGAAACTAAAATAGTGGCTGTATGTTTATAATATGTGGGATTTTTAGACTAAGTGTATCATACTAAGTTGTTTATAAACTAAGTACCTCAGAGACCTTAACTAATCCAGTCATTTAAATGAGATTTTTGTCGATTGGAATTAAGGCTGCTGATCCATGAAATATGCATTTAGATATCTTCTATTTGTTCACATGATACATAATTAAGAGCAGCTCCCAAATATTGAGAAGGATTATAAGGTGTGAAATCCACAAAAGCTAGTGCTGTGGGATGAGGGAAAGTCAATAAGTATGGGCAGCTTTCATCTTTCACAGATATTATTTACTTACACATGTGCATCTCATCACATGTCCTCATGGATATATGATACCTAGATTCTCTATCACAGAAAACTTTTCCTGTTTCTGACAAAAAACAATTTTGGAGGTATGTTTAAATTTGCCACTCCTCGAGAGATTTAAGAAGTTGATTTTACTTGTAGTAGATGAGTCGTTTGAAAAAGTAGAGTGTGTTTTAGAAAATATATATCTTACCTAGTTCAGTTTTGTTAGCAAAAGTGGTGGTAGTGTTTCTTAAAGTTCTTGTCCCCTGTGACAGAGTAATTTGGAATCCATATCGATTCATCAGGCCCCAGCTGGTAGAGGGCTTCGTGAAGACTTGGACCAAGAAGGTCTTGGTTTGAACTTTTCTGCCCAGCAGGAGCCTTTGAGACTTTGTTGTTGTTGTTGCTAACTCAAGTGCTTTATGATTTCACTTGATTAATGTGTTTATGAAATTGTAATTATCGCTGAAAGTGAGATTGGGTTCTGGTGTCCAGGGCTCACCTTTCTCTTCAGGAAATAAGGATGATAAATGAGTCAAATTTGCTTTTAGACTCTTCTCATGGGTTTCCTTTGGGCGTAGACTCTCCCGGGCTCCAGCTCCAGTATCTGGTGGATCCTGTGCTCCTCAAGCCTGGAGAACAGCGGTGGTTTATACATTATCTTGCTGTGCAGACCCTACACATCGATGTCTGGGATGGAGATTCGCTGCTTCTCATTGGCTCTGCAGCAGTGCAGATGGAGGTAACATTTCTTTCTGCAATAAAGGCATGATAACACATAGCTCATTAAAAATCCCATCATAAAAGAGTCCAGAAGAGTTGTGAGTGTGGTTCTTTTACCCAATTCCGATGCTATGATTCTGCCTATTGATTTCCCTGATAGAAAACAAGATATTTCTCGTAGGGTCCAAGTTCTATATTTTCAGTTGTTTTCCCATTTAACTCTTAAGAACAGACTCAGTGGTCCATTTACTTTGCTTTGAGTTCTAAGGATTCTTACTTTCATTGTGTCCATCTCAATGAGGATGAGGTAAAAAAAAAAAAAGATCTGTCCTCGATAATTTCTTATTTCCATGGTTGCTTCCATAATAATTTTTTAACCAAAAAAACAAAAGAATGCTAGTGTGGTATGGTGGATACAGGGCTGGTCCTTAAGTCAGGATGACCGGGGTTCAAATACCACCCCTGACCCTTAGTAACTCTTGATCATGGACATGACATCAGTCATAATATCACAGACATAGAATCTGAAGGGTCCTCATGTCTATGCTCTTGAATTACAGATGAGGAAACTGGGTCCCAAGGAGTTTAAGTGTCTTCTCCAAGGTCACACACCATTTAGCCTCTCTCACCTAAACTTATCTCCTCTGTAAAATGAGGAGAATAACTCTAGTTCCTCCTCCTAGCACGATGGTGGTGCTGAGGCCCAAATTTAGTTAATGTCCGTAAAATGCTTGTAATCCTTAAAGCACTTCATAAAACATAAACTATTATTGTTGATTATAGTTATCAATAAAAGCCTCTGAGTTTTGGACAATACTTTACAAGTTTATAAGATTACATAACAATTAAGATTTGATTAGAGGAAAGGAGCACCTTATTCCATGGTGTTTTTAATAAAACTGTTCTAAACATCAGGTGGATGGATCTCAGTTTCTTCAGCAACAGCTAGTCCATGGAGCTGGCATGATTGGATTGCTCCTCTTCTGGCACTCCCAATGTTTATTTGCTCCAGTGCATTTTACAGAGAGAAGGCTGGACAAAGACAGACTCCCATCGAACTCATGTTTGTTGTTTTTGTTTTTGTTTTGAAAAGCAAGTGAGCTGGTGCCTTTATTTCTCCACGGATGATCTAAGCGTCAGGTGGGATTCATGTGGTTGGGCCCTTTTGAACACAAGTGATAGGATGTCCTTCAAACACAAGGTCAGATACATCAGTATGTTTCCTGAGCAAACAGGCTGAAGGCTGGGCTGGACGTTTGCCCCATGCCTGGCAGTGTCCCCTAAAAACTGGTACCAACTCCCTTTTACCTCTCACATATATTTCCCTCGTTCCGCAGCATATCCTCCGCCAGGGCCAGGCGGCTGTTCAAGTCTCCCATGAGCTCGATGTTTTCACAACAGAATATGAACAGGATACGATGGTGGTGAGTGGAGACATTACCAGGCCTGGCACCGTCAAACCCATTGGAGTCCACACTCTGGTCAGAGGCCGTCTGCACCTCACTTTGGCCAATGTGGGTAAGGAGCCCAAGCTTCCTCAAATGGTTTTTCATTTCCATCTTGCTATTGTAGCTCCAGGAGGGTAAGGAGAGGACTTTTATTTCTTTTGTATCCTCCTCTGCATCTAGACTGGTGCGTGAGATGTACCTAGCAGGTGCCCAGGAAATGCATACTGAATGAATAATCAGGAGGGTTAATGAGACTGTCCCCTCACAGGGAATGTTCTGTTATATTTTAGCCTTGTGACTTCGATATGCAAGGGAGTCTATTACGTTGTCCCACATTTTTTTTCTCATTCCTATTCCTTCTATGTCCTTTGGATTGTTCTCAAATAAAGAGTGTAGCTTATGACAGAGATTTTTATCTGTTTGGCCTACTCTATGTGAATGAAATGCCAAGCACAGTGACCTGAGGGGAGGGCCTTCTGTCTTTACTGAGGAGAAAATTTAAAAAAAATAAAGAAACTGTCCCAAACTTTCAGGCAGCTGGGGGAGGAGGAGAGAGGAGAAGTAGTTCTCTCTGACTTAGAGCAATGACCCTTTGTGGAAAGGAATCATAAAAAAGATGTCAGTGATGACACAAAGATGCCACAGCCCAGCATCCTGATGCTTCCCTCTATTTTATCCTTGTCTGAAAGCCCTGCCTGGGGGCAGAGGTTACTCACAGGGCTTGACTTTGGGGAGAATTGAGTCTAGATCATTTGGAGAGATGCAGTTCATTTTTATTTAAGACTTCCTTTTGTTTGGACATGCCCCACAGGGCTGCACTTGACATAGCAAGGCATTGCTGGCTGGCCTAGGTCACAGAGTTTGAAAATGGTGTCAGGCAGGATGCAGAATTGTCCTTCCTCCCTTTGCTGACCAGGTCCCTTTGCAGAGCTTTAGGGCTGAGCTCCAGTGTGCTTTACGGCATTCAGTTAATGAAAAATTAAAAAAAAAAAAAAGACTGTCATCCTTTATTGTTTTCCTGGGGCGGGACAGGAGGGAGAGGATTTGAGGTTGGAGATTTTTCTTAGCAAAATGGAAAGCACAATACTGGGGACTTTTGACCCTAGACAGGTCAGGGCACACAGTTACATCTCTGGAGTTTTAGAGGGAGCTTTCCATTTCTTAAAAATCATCTGAATTTAAGCCCATGAAACCACATGAGAGAGCAGCACATCCTTTCTCTGCACATCAGCAGCCGTCCCTGTCCCTGGCAGCAGGAAGACGAGTTAATGCACAGTTCATTAAGTCTGGTTTGAGTTTTCTGCCTGCTTGTTTACAAATGTAAAATCGGAGGCAGCTTTGAAGACAGGCAATATGGAAACCACAGAACTCAATTAGGTTCTGGAGAAATAACGGAAAGACATATAAGGAACAGGCATTATTCCAAAGCTTCCAGCAGCCCCAGCTCCAGAATGGCGAGCAGCATTCTTGCTTCCTAGAATGTATTGGTTATTTTTATATTTAATTCACAAGCCTACAAATGTGCAGTGACTCCAGGTTTTAAAATCTTATCTTCAGAAGAAAGATTAGCTCTATTAAACGTTATCATAAATTGTCATTTTCATACTTTGCCTGCAAGAGAATGATAAGCTCTTGGGAAAGAGAGTCTGCGATACACAACCCTGAGAGGACCTAAAAGCAAACTTAGAAAAGGGAACAGATGAACCAAGGACAAATGCTGAACACAACACACTGTATCAATGCAGCAGCTATTTGATTTCTCCATAAATTTGGCTTTATTAGTTTTTTTAAACTTTGTGGCTTTTATTTCTTTACAAAATTGGTTATTATGCACTGAGCAGCAGGACCGCTCCTGAAAATTGAATGATGACCATGTAATTATTTAGGACTGCAGAAATGGAATAAAAGCCAAATGGTGGTATTCCCATGGGGAGATGACCTTGGGGCCAGTCTGTAGCTGTCTTGCATTCACACTCCATGTGTCCAACTTGGATGCCAAGAACTGAATCTTTAACGAGAGAACTTTCTACTTTTTAGACTTTGTTAATTTTTTTCTTCTTAAGACAATCTATATTCTACCCCAATTGGCTTACTTGCTCTTCCCTGAATCAATAAGCAAGCATTTATTAAAGGCCTACTTGAGTCCCATGCACTGTGCTAGGCGAGGGGCATACAAGGATAAAGAATAAAACAATCTCCCATCGTAAGGAATTTAATTCTAGTGGGAGGACATAGAAAGGACATAGAAAAATATGCAGCATAAATATAAATAATTAAATGCAAATATATACAAAGTATTTAAATACAAGGTAGGGAAGGAGGGTCCTTGGAGTTTGACTGAGAAAAGGAGGACAGCCATAGAATGAAAGCTTGAGGGGATGAAATGGGCCTTCATTTGCCACTTTCTGAGGGATCTTTACCCAGGCTTTCCCATCTACCTCAAATGCAGTCCTTCTTTGTCTTTGCTTCTTAGAATCCTTAGCTTCCTTCAAGGCACAGTCTCCTATGGGAAATCTTACCTGATTCCAGTAGTTATTGCTGCTCTCTCCATCACCTCAGATGATCTTGTACTTACTTATCAGAGTCAATGTCTGGTTGGTTCAACTTTCTCACTTTTGTATTTGTCGCCTCGATATACCTAGAATGGTTTCTGGCACACACTTTAAATGATTTTTGACTGGTCAATTGATCGAATATTGAATATCTTCCCAGGAGAATGTAAGCTTCTTGAAGACAGGGGCAGTTTTCCATTTTGTCTTTGTAGCTCTAGTGCCTAACAGGTTGTGTTGTGGTTTGTCCTTCGTTCTCGAGGACCATGACATCAGGAAGGTGATGCCGTGACTTGCAAGTGAATTGGATTTAAGTGAGGGGGGGCTGTGCAAAATCACCAGCCTCATTTTCTCCTCCGGAGCCATCTGGGTCCATCTTGGTGGCAAGATACAGCTCAGGACGACTTCAGGTGGCCCAGGATATAGTGGGAGACTTTGACCTTTTTAAGATAAGGTCTTTCTGAATTCTCACTTTGACTGAGGTAATGCCCATTCAGTTATTAGGGCTGTTTAAGAAGTGACTCAAGGGATGGCCCCTTTAATCAAAAAAAAAAAAAAAAGGGAAAAGGAAAATAAAGAAAAAAGAAAAAAACAATCAAAGTGGGAGGGAAGACCCTCAGGGTTTCTGGCCAAAAGAGAAATAGTTATTAGAGCCAAACACATTGCCAGGTACAGAGTAGGCACTTAACTGCTCATTGGATGAATTGAATGAAAGGGAACAGTGGATAAGCCTCAGCTGTCCTTCCCTCAGAAACTTTAAATTCATAGTAATGGTAACATCATACATGATGAGATGATGATGATATTATTAGCAGCTGATCAACAGGAGAGAGTAGTATATTTCTTTAACTGTGTACATTGTATATCCCTTCTCCAGTAGAATCAATCAATCCATAAATATTTCTTAAGTGCCAGCTACTGCTGGGGATATTTGAAAAAAAAAAAAAAGGGCAAAAGACAGTTCCTGCTCTTAAGGAGCTTACAGTCTAATGGGGGAGACAATGTGGAAACAAACATACACAAAGCAAACTACATACAGGACAAATAGGAAGTAATTAAGAGGGAAGGCACTAGAATTAAGCAGTCACTAAGCATTTATTAAGCACCTGCTATATACCAGGCGCAGTGTTAAGTGCTGGGGATACAAAAGGAAGCAAAAGACAGTCACTGCCCTCAAGGAGCTTACAATCTAATGAGGAAGACAGCATGCAAACATATATACAAAGCAAACTATATACAGGATAAATAGGAAATAATTAACAGAGGGAAGGCACTAGGATTAAGAGGGATTGGGGAAGGCTTCCACCAAAAGAAGGGATTTTAGTTGGAACTTAACAGAAGCCAGGGAGGTTTCTTAGATGATTTCAGTGACTGCATATCCAGTCAGTCATATTCAAGAATCTCATGTAGGGAGGTAGACTTTAGAGAAAGTGAAGCACTTTTGAGGTCAGATACTGAGCATTTGAGGCCAGTTTTAATTTCTTTTTAAAATATATTAATGGAGAAACACCACAGATACTAGACTAGTGCCATGGATGATAGTATATCTTGATACTATGAAATGCATTGCTATAAACTTCAGAGCCCTATATCATTATGGTCATATTACTGTCATTCTTATTTAAATAGGATTCTGGCAACAGACTTGGTGAGGACCAGTTTAGTTAACACATGCCCAAACTGCATAGAGGGTCATCAGAAAATTGCTTATGAGGAGGTGAAGTTTTTGGCCATAACCCATAAAACACAAATACAAACCAGCCCTTGGTCCTGTGCACTTTGCATGCCTGTATTTGTGAATTGGTTAGAAAAAGGGGAGGTGCTCAGAGTCACATGTTCTTAGACTGTCTATGGAACATCAGCGTAACTGCTGACCCTAAGATGTGATTTTTCTCTAATAACCAAGAGTTGCCATATTCCTATAGGAGCTGGAAGGACCATTTCTGCATCTGTAAGAAGTGCCTTCATATTGACATTCTCCCCATAAATGAAGCCGGAAGTCAGAGAGAAGCTGCAGTTGAATGGAAGGATGAATTGTAGGGTTTTCTCAGAAAACTAAAATTAAGGCATTGCCGGCAGTGCAGCCAGGTGGTGCAGTGGATAGAGCACCAGCCCTGGAGTCAGGAGGACCTGAGTTCAAATCCGGCCTCAAACACTTACTAGCTATATAATCCTGGACAAGTCACTTAACCCTGATTGCCTCCAAAAAAAAAAGGAGAAAAAAGAAGGCATCACCAGATATCTTATACTCCAAAGCACCAAAAAACTTCATTTTGTGGGTCATTTGGCCTTATTCACTTCCAGGGTTCATGAAAATAATATGCCATCTGACCACATGAAGTTAATTGCTGTTCATGGGTCAATATATCTCATAGAGTATGAAGAAATAGTGATTGGCATCTCCATCTGCCCTGGAAAAATAAAGTGGATGAAAAAAAATCCACTTTGCACAGTTTTTGACGGGTAATAGGATGGGCAGGTAGTCCCTTGGTCTGTGTGTCATCCCTGTGTGGGCAAGCACCCCTCATGGACTTGGGTTCATATCGTGAGGAGTTTTCACTAGTAAATGAAGCTCGCTCGTCTCAAGGGCCCATCTCTAAAGTCAAACTCAGGTCTACATTTCTGTTTTGTTACCATGCTAACAGAAACCTAGGAAACAGTAGCCCAGAATCAGTGAGAGCATTTAATTGGAACAGAATTGGAACCAGGATAGAATGGAAACATTCTTAGCACCCATCTCTCAAATGAATACCCTCCCCCTCCCCTCTTTAAGGTTCTTCCTGCCTACACACTGGGGAAAGCAGCAGAGTTTCTTTCGCCAGACTTATTTAGTCATAGCTCTTCTTATAGCTCTTTCCTCATACTTCATCTCCGGTTATGGCACTACATAGCCTCCATAGGGAGGTATGATCCCAGTCACTTTCCATAGCTGTGTGGACTCGTCTCCAAGCTCAGCTGGCAGCCTCTGTCTAGCCTCTTGAATGGTCTAACCCACTGGTCTAACCTCTTGCTCACTCCACCCATGCCTTCGCTTCTACCAATTCCTTCTTCCACCTCCTTGCCCTGCCCACCTCACTTGTATCCATAGTACGTCATCTGGTGGAATTGGAAGTTCTAGTACACCCCATGGGGAAATAGCTAGTGGTTGCTACCCTGTACCCTGAACAGGACAGGCTTGTCCTCATCCAGGTCAGCGTCTGTTAAAGCATCTTGCATTGGTGCTGCAGATGGAAAAAGGGCTGGGCTTATGAGGGAAAGGCAGAAAGAGAGTGGGCCAGATTGCATTTGGGGAATTGCACGATCCCAAGCTTCTCATGAAAGGCCTAATGTCACAGGGGAATCCACACAATAGTGAATGAACCAGAAGATGGCCTCCAGGGCACTGGGAGAATTCTCTGTGGAGGATTTATGGGAAGATGTGGATAAAAATCGCATGGGGAAGGAAGCCAGGCTGTGGTGCAGTTTACACCAAGGGCTGCTCTGTGCCCACTCTGAGAATGCCACAGATTTATCTATCAAACAAAGATAATCTGGGAGTTGGGAGAAACAGTCGAGATATTTTCTCCATCCTCCCGACCTTGGCCTTACTAGATACTGTGTTGTGGTATTAGAGACAGCCAATGAATGGGCACTGACTGCAGTGAGAGTCCAGGGGAGGAAGAAAACCAAGACACATCACGTCAGTAACTAGTCAGCCTTACCACGGTGAAATTATTCTGCCAGGGTAAAAAATGTTTGTTTGTTTTTTTGCTTTTACATTTCATCAGACTATAGATTTACTGGCTGTGCTCTTAGTTCATTTTAATACCTATAATCGAGGTATTGATATAACATGAAGGCTCAGTGGCTCAGTAGATAGAGCACTGGACCTGGAGTCAGAAAGACCTGAATTCAAATCCAGCTTCAGGCTCTTCCTAGCTGTGGGACACTGGGCAAGTCACTTAACCTCTGTTTGCCTCAGTTTCCTCATCTGTAAAATGAGCTGGAGAAGGAAATGGCAAACTGCTCCAGTATCTTTGCCAAGAAAACCCCATATGGGGTCATGAAGAGTCAGACACGACTGAAACAACTCAACAACAACAAAAACAAAATCAGTGGATCTGGTTGCTGTGCCAGCGATGTTCTTTGATCCCAGAGCATTCTCTTCTTGCCAAGAGGAGTGACATGGGCTACACTAACCTGATCTTTGTTGTTCAGAGTTTGGCTGTTTTCTTTTTTCTCTTTCTTTTCCTTCTTTCCTTCCTTCCTTCCTTCCTTCCTTCCTTCCTTCCTTCCTTCCTTCTTTCCTTCCTTCCTCCCTCCCTCCCTCCCTCCCTCTCTCTCTCTCTGTGTCTCTCTCTCTCGTTCTTTCTTTCTTCTAGGACTTGTGTATGTTGCCAGTTTCTGGCCCCTGTTGCCATTTGTACAAGTCATTAAGTTTCTTTGTCTTCATCCTATTTGCCATTTCTTATAGGACAATGATGTTTATTCCATTCCATTTCTTATAATACCCTTTATTCAGCCATTCCCAAGTTAATAAGCATCCACTTTGTTTCCAGGTCTTTACTACCACAAAAAAACAGAGAAGTGTAATATTTAGCAGAAGGACAGAATTATTTGAAGAAGCTTGCTTGTTTTATGGGACTCTTGAAATCATTTTATCAAGTTCTTAGGAAGCTCTTAGCAGTTTGTGAGAATTTAGTAGAGTGCTGTGGCTAACCTTGAAAAATTAGCAGTTATGCTCTGGATTTTTGTGGGAGCTTATTCATCCTTCTTAAAGAGTAGGCTTGCTCTCTCAAAACCATTGTGTAATGGAAGAACTCAAGCAATTTTAACATCCATTGAGTGCAGGGGTTTTTGCCTTAAAATGTGCTTGTGGTTAAAAACGTGTATATGTAAAAGCCTTTGAAGGCTCGTATTTTAATGTGGCCCACAGCAAAGTCACAGAATTTAAAAGGATAATTTTGTGACAGTGCTATTATAATTTTAAAGAGACTGTGAAATTCCACCCAAGTTAAGACCACTGGAGATTTGTCTAGAGATGAGATGAATAAGAGTACCTGTGTCCGCCTACTTGGTGTCAGGTTGTTTGTGTCATCAAGGCACAAGGTACACCTTGTGCCTCTTAGAAGTCATAGATGTAGAAAACAAAAGATGAATGAGTTGAAGGCAAATGGAGTTCTTTTACATGTCAGTGTGTCTGTATAATAGAACAAATTGAAACCAGAGCTTGGGAGTAAGGGCTTTAATATGGTGTGTAATTTAGAAGTTAGAATTCTAATATGTGTTTGCCTCTCATTAAGCTTTTATTAAAATTAAAAAAAAAACTTCTTCACTATTAATATATTCCTGTGACCCTTATGGGGGTTATTTCAATTTAGGTCATGTGTCTGAACAGAAATCAAATGATTCCAACTCATTACCCCCTTCACGATCGCGGATCATTTCCTCTAATGATGGGACCAGTGGCTTCCATGGAGGCAGTCTTCTTAGCCAGGAAGGCCATAGAGGTAAGTAGAAGGGGACATCTTGCTCCATGCCTAGATCCTACCTCCCTCCCATGGGGTGGAAAGCAGGGAATTGAGGGGATAGGAACTAGAACTGTCCTTCCTTGGAAAACAGTGCTAACAGAATGTCATCCAGGCTTAGTGCTAGAGCGTATGCCCTAAGTAATCTTATTGATTTTTCCAGTCACGTTTGTTCTCCTCATTAATCAAATGCCATAGTCTGTGTATTTGGTTCTGTGGAAATCAAGCTCTATTCTTTTGACAGAGCAATTGGAATGCTGTGAGTGGCATTTGTTGTAGGTTAGCTAGCTGCTCACCTGCAGTGGAGCGGGGGAGAAGATAAAAGAAACAGGGAGAGCATTGGATTATTTTTAATAGGTTTGAATGGTCAATGATAGTCGATAAACATTTATTGAGCACCGCTAAGTACCAGGCACTGTATTAAGCACAAGGGATCCAAATATGAAAAAGAAAGACAACCCCTGCCCTCAGGGAGCTTATGATCTAATGGGGGAAGATACTACACAAGAGCAGGCTGAAAGTGGGGCTGGGGAGGTTCCTGAAGCCCGACAAAGTCAAAGCAGTCGAAACAAGTGCTGCCGTGGAAGTCACCGGAGTACCCAGTGAGCGAGCTGGGGGTGGGAAATGAGGAAACGCCATATTTTAGACACCCAGGGGCATTCCACCCTCATGTTTGAGAACTGAAGACCTTGGGGAAGTCCTCTCATTCCTGTGAACCATACCTGTGTGAACTGATCTCTAAGGTTCCTGCTAGCTCTAAATCCTGTAAACTTAGCTTGGGAAATATCTTCCTTTTAGTAAAAAAAAAAATCGAACCTTTTTTGAGGGTTTTTTCCCTCCGTAAGTAACCATAATAAATAATAAATTTGATACAACATGAAGTAGTTGCCATGTATATTAAATACAGAAAAGGCCTTGTGAGTTAGTTTTCTAACTAGCTTTGCAGATTACAGCACCAGAGCTGGAAGGCACTTCAGAGACACCCTCATTTTACAGATGAGGAAACTGAGGCCCAGAGATGAAGTGATTGTCCAAGGTTACACAGGGAGTACATGGCAGAGCTGAGATTTGAACCTGGTTACTCTGATCCCAAATCCGTTGCCTTTCTGCTGTAACATATTGCCTCAGATGAGGAAACTGAGGCCCAGAGAGGGTCTAAATTAACAGAGCTGGGATTATAATTCATGTCTCCTGATTCACAACTCCAGACTCTTTCCACTTTTTTCTTCTTCTCTACTTGAAAATAATGGCTAAGATAATGTGATCTTTGAGAAGCCCTTCCTTGACACAAGGAACTTGGTCACACTTTGAGGGAATGCTTCCTTTTCTGTTTCATTGTTCTCACAGAGTTAACAGCATCCCATAGCCTCCTCCTGCGATATAGCTACCAACTCCCCTTATCAACAGGCACATTTATAAGTCCCACAGCATGAATAGGTTTACTTGCAGGTGAAAGAAAGCAGACATAACTCCTGTCAGGCAGAGTGGCATTTTGAATAGAGAGCTGGCCTTCAAGCCAGGAAGACCTGGGCTCTAGGCCCGCCTCTGACCCCGAGAGCCCAGGCAACCCTTTATGATTCTAAGATGTCAAGAATGCACTGAACTCCATTCGTATGGGGTGTTTTTTCAACTGAGAGTTCCCTATACCCATGAAACCAGTTGTCTACTCCCTATCCTTATCCTCCCAATGTACAAAAATAATATCTGCTGCTCAGAATAGGGCCTGTACTCAGGAAAATCTGAGTCCAAACCTAGCCTTAGACACTTACTTAGCTGTGTGATCCTCAGCAAGTCACTTAACTTTTGTCTAACTCAGTTATTTCATCTGTAAAATGAGAATGATAATAATAGTAACTATGTTGCAGAATTGTTGTGAAGATCAAGTGAGATAATATTTGTAAAGAACTTAGCACATGACTGGCACATAGTAGATGCTTAATAAATCTATCCTTCCTTCCTTCTTTCCTTCATTCCTTCTCTCTCTCTCTTCCTCTTTCCCTCCCATCACTGGATCAAAAGGTCTTTCCTTGTCCCTGAAAAATATATGTTGTACACACTCAACTTCTGTCCTGTTCAGGGAGACCCATCTGTTCAGCCAAAATTTCCCTTACCTCTCTACTATCTTAAATCCTTTCTACTATAAGATTGCCTCTGTATCTAATATAAAGTAACAGTGATGTGGTAATTTTTATAGATGATCTGTAATCTTAATTTGTTGGCCTTTTATTAGCATTGTGTAGTGGGTAGAGTGCTGGAAGCAAGGACATTTGGATTTAAATCCTGTCACTAGCACTTACTGTGTGACCTTGGGCATGTCTCTTAACTCTCTGACCCTCAGTTTCCTCATCTCCTAAGTGGGAATTATAATACCCATAGTACCTTTCACACAGAATCAATAGCAGGTTCAAATGAGGCAATTTATATAAAGTGCTTTGCTAACCCTTAAACATTATGTGGTCAATTACTAATATTATTATCAGACTTATAAAATACATTAATTGCAGTTTAAATCACCAACTACTTATTAATCATCTACCATTTAGAAGGAATGGGATTTATGAGCTGGAAAGTATTCTCTAAAGTGCAGTGTTTTCACTTTAATGTTGAGGAAACTGATTCTAGATCTGTTCTAGGTCACATGTGGCAAACCCGCAACTAGAACCCAGATCTCCACATTTCCAGTGCAGTGCTTTTTCTATACTCATAATAATTAAGAAAAGTTCTCTTGAGTTTATATTTCAAGCTTGAGCCCTCAATCATCTGTCTCTTTTCTTCTGTTGACATCAATCCTGGCTCCCCCAAGATTTAGGAGAAGAGCTTTCAAAGTTGTCTTGGCTGAGTTCATCACCTTTTGGCCCACCTGGGCTAGACTTAGAGAATAGCTAGGATAATGTGATCCTTGTTTGAGGAAGCCCTTCCTTGACACAAGGGACCTGGTCACACTTTGAGGACATGCTCCCTTTTCTGTTTTCATTGTCCCCACAGAGTTAACAGCATCTGATAGCTACCAACTCCCCTTATAAACAGGACTTAGATAAGTTGACCCTCAGATGAAAGAAATAGGTGATATGTCACCAGACATGTCTTCCAGACTGGCTTTAAACAATCTAATAGAGTTCTCCTACCCTTGTTCCAAACGGAAAATTCTGGTGCTCCCAGAACACAGGCTGAGATCATATTAATGCCTCTGTCAAATCACCCCCAGTGGTCCACAGAGCAGGGGTGTATACATGACTCATATCTGATGGTGCCCTCCATTTGGTGATGGACAGCTGAAATTGATGAAGTGTTGTTAGCATATTCCTAGAATATGAAGGAAGATAGACAGGCTGTCTCTGAATAGGAACACAGTTCTTGTACTTGTTCAGAGCCAGAGAAGGAAGCCTGTGATATCTGGAAATTCTGACATTCTTTCACTTTGCCAAAGATGTAAAGTTGGTCAGTCTGTTCTGAAGAGAATGTTGATGCTTCCTATGTTAGAGAAATCCCAGCAAGTCAGTCCCTCAGAGCAGTTCTAGAAGTTTCCTTCATGTCTTATTGGAAACCAGAAGGGGCACAGATGGAGAAGTCCTGATCTGCTTGGGTGTCTCAGGGACAAGCTGGATGAGAGGAGACATCACAATCACTGCCTTTGTTGATTTCATGCTAGAACATTTGTTTGGAAAAATCCATTCCTTAGAATGACCTTCCATCCTCTAGAGCCCCCTTTTCTCAATAACTTTTATCCCGCTTATCTATTCAGACCCCATCAACACTTAAAATGATCATTTTTAGCAGTAGTTTAAGACATCTGAGCCAATTTTCTGCATCTGGAAAGCAATTAAATAGCTCTAAAATAGGGTGGTGGGTTGCCTGAAAATAGCACTTGTTTACTTGTTCCAGAGGAAGGGGTGGGTGGGAGTGGGGAGAAGAAGCTTACTTCTGCTTCCTAGTGAGAAGAAGCCACACATTTGGGTGAAAGAAAGTGGGAAACAGGCTGATGGCGAATGAGAGGCTGGCATGCCGTGGTGAGGTTCTGCTGACTCATAGTGTAGAACATTCAGTGAGTTCCCTGTGGGGGAATTTGGGGGTAGGCCACAGATGATTTATTTTATTCTACCTTTAAATGATTTTCTAGAAATACGCTGTTTGTGTAAGGTGGTAGGTTTTATGGACTAACCTTATTAGCCACTAGTTTCACTCATCCCTGGAGTCTCCAGCATTGTAAAGAGATGAGTAAGTGCAGCACACTGTTCTCTCTTAATATGGTTTATAAACCATTGTGCCTTCAGAAAACCTTATTCCGCTCTTGTGGAGGTGACCCAGAGTTCTTGAAGCTCTGCTGTCAGAGAGCAGACCCTGTCAGGTTCTGCCATATTGGAAAGGCTCCAAGGTCCATTTTAGCAAGACATGCAATGGCATCTTACTATGGGAACTGAATCATATCAATATTCACATTTTTGCTGTAAGTGAAGTGAGAAGATAAAATGAGGTCATAGCTAAGTGGAACGAGGACTTTAAGTTTCTCCTTGGAGAAGCACGTAAAAGAGTTACTTTTTATCCTGTGTCAAAAGGAAACAAATATTTCATGAGATAGTTGGTTATCTCTTGTTGTGGTATAGATGATAAATATTTGAAAAAACCCACCATGAAGATAATTGAAACTTACTTATCTGTTGCAGAAGAAAAATTCTAGGAACTTGGTAAAACTTTCAAAATTAAATCAACATATACTTTATTACCAGTGACTTGAATACAAAGGTGGGTGAGGGTACAGTAAAAAAATATGTGTGAAAACATTGTTTAGGTGTAAGAAACTAAAGGGGCTGAAGGTTTATATGGTATACAGACGGCTCCTGCCTTTATGTCATGAATATTTTATTTAAAAGACACTCAGGAAATGCCATGTCTGACAAACGCTAAATATTGCTATGAAAAATGAGTTTAGTTACATATATACTCTCAGACAGGAAACCATTGGTTACTTGTATACAACTCATTTC